CCCCCCCCCCCCCCCCCCCCCCCCCGTTCTCTGGCCTCCCGCCCCAAATGCCCCTCTGGGGCCCCTCCACCTACCCCATCCTTTCCCCACCACCCTCCGAGGGGGCCCTCTGGGTCGGTCCCCACTGAAGCTGGGCCAGGTTTGGTGACAAAGGCCGGACTCCACCTATGTTTCTTGCCCTGTTTGGGTTTTTGTACAGGTCAATCTTTTTCATTACCAAATTCAACCAGTATGTCACTCTGGCAAGACTCATAAAAGTTTCTAAACATCCTCAAATTTTTTTTAGTGTTACTTTTTTTTTATTGTGGCAAAATACCCATAACAGAGAATTAACCATTTGAACATGAACAATTCAGAGACACTTAGTACATTTACGATGTTATGCAACCCTCAGCACTATCGGGTTCCAAAACATTTGCATCACCCCAAAAGGAAACCCATACCCAATAAACCAGTCATCCTGACCAATTTTTAACTCTCCCAGACACCCCCTTGTTCTGTAACGTGATTTGAACCATAGCAGTCCAAAGACCAGTGGAACGAAATGTTGCTTTTTTTCAGCCCACATTTGCGCAGCTAGCCACAGACAACAACAGCAACTGACAGGATTGCAGTAACAGTAACATGTTTGTGGTTTTTATTCTAGGCAGGGCCTGTGCTCGGCTGCTTATCAAGAGGGAATCAGTTAATCCTCCGCACCACCCTGTAAACTGAATTCTAGATTATGATCGCCCTTCGGCACCAAAGGAAGCCAAGGCACAGAGAGGCAAAGCCACTGGCCAAACAAGGGAGCTGGCTTCTGGAGACAGAAAGGTCAGCTTCCCCCTCAGACCGTGCTTCCTCCTCGCTGTGTGACCTAGGACTGGCGATTACCCTCTCTGGACCTTGATTTCCAGCTTCTGTGGAAAGGCTCCAAGGACAGCAGGGCCCAAGACTCACTGATGTGAGGTGCCGTTATCTCTCCAGAGGCCCACGCCTCCCTACTGGTCCTTTCCCCAGGTTCACATTTACGCTTTCACCCCCGGATCAAGTGCTTTCAACCCTGGAGCAACCGCATAAGGGGAACTGGGCGGGGGGGGGGGGTGCAGTTAGGGAGAAAAGGGCTTTCCAGTTTACCCTAAACACCACTTCCTTAGTCAGCTCCGTCCCAAGCACCCTTGATCTTGGGTCTCTCTTGAGGGCAGGAGAAGCCCGAAGGCTGGAAATCACCCCAGCGGAGTCCAGGGCAGGGCAGGGACCGGTCTGTTATCTCCAACACCTGCCAAGTCAGGGCCCCCTCGCTGTTGAACGAATGAATGAACTTGTTGCGACGGCTTGGAGGACACAGGATGTGAGGGCGGGCTTTGTATATGAGCCACAGCTTCTCATCCAGGGACAGGCTGTGTCCCCCAGGGTGGGTGGAGGGGTCCCTGGGATCCGTAACTCCCATGCCTTTGTCCTCCGGTCACCCCACACACCCCGCCCCGGGCCCCCACGGTCCACATCTTGCAGCCCACCAAGCCATGCGGATTCCCAGGCACGCGTCCAGCAAGGCTACTTACAATGCAGCAGTCTCTCCTTCCTCCGGCCTCCCCCCTTGGGGGGGCGGGGGCTTCCAAGTCTGATGGGAAATCAGGAGTGAGGGGAGGCCGGGAGCTGGTCCAAGAATCCCTGGTTCCCAGGAGGCAGGGAGGGGCTGGCTTTTGGAGTGGCCTGGGAGAAGGCCAGGTTGTCCCCTGGGGGAGCTTGGGGTGGGCAGCAAGGCACCCTGAATGGATGAGGGTCAGAGCCAGAACCCGAACCAGAGCTGACATGAGCGCACAGAAGCTTCTGGGAAAGTTTTCTCCCTTCTAAATATTTAGACAGCGAGATGGATGGGCAAGCGAGGGCCAGACTGGGCCGGCCGGGCCCCTGGTTATTTTGAGAGAAGTGTTCTTTTTGTGCTCCAGGATAAACGTTCCCTGTCTCCCTCCTTCTCTCCCAGAGCCTGTCGGGGCCACCCTGGAGGAGGAGAAACAGGGAAATAGCAGCTGATGGCCCCCCATCCCCGCATTCAGGGGGGTCAAGATTCCAGCAGGCAAGGACTCCAGGGTCTCATCTCTGCTCGTCCACCCGGCAGCCGTGCCCCTGAGCCTCAGGCTTCTGCTCCCAGAAGACCGGGCAGGAGATCATGGGCAGCAGATGTCAGCAGAGGGAGCAGGCGGCTGCGGACCCCATTTTGGATGACGTTCCCACGGTACTGCCAGCTCGCTGCGCCCGGGACATGGGTGCCCCCTGCTCCTCGCCCCAGGCTGACAAAGGTACCCAGTTCCCCTCCTTCCCCCCGAGAGCAGCGGGAGCCCTCGAGTCCTTCCTCCCGGAGGCGGGCCGGGAGAGGGGTGTCTGCGAGTCGCGGTGGGTAGGCCTGGGGCCCAGGCAGCAGAACCAGAGCCTGAGCCTCTGGAAGACAGCCTTGCGGAAAAGGATGAAGACCCAGGGGTCCAGGATGGGGTTGAAGGCGTTGAATCGGAAGGCAAGGAGGTCCCCCATCTCACTGCTGTCCGGGGCGATGGCCTGCGTGAAGCCTCGGATCTGGGGGCAGGGCGGGGGCGTCAGGAAGCACCCAGGAATCCTCTGACCCCCACCGCACACCCACCCCACCCTCGCTCCCCTCCTTCCACGCGCTTACTGGCAGGAATGAGGGAGGGGTGCCCTTCAGCAGGGGCAGGAAATAAGATGAAAAGTAAGTGAGAGATGCATCCGGGGAGCAGAGGGAAAGAAAGCCCCCGGAAACCACTAGCCTAGAGGGACAGAGCGGAGGTCATGCGGGTGAGTCCTGGGGCTAGGGCTGTGTCTCTCCACGTTGCCAGCCTGTGAGTCATCCGTAATCCCCCCAAAGCTTTGACGACCAGCCCTTGCATTTACAGAAAGAGAGTCCCAGGCCCAGAGTACAGGGCGGGGGTGGGGGGTGGCAATGACTGGGGGGGGCAATGACTAGCTCTGCCCGAAAGGGGCAAGGCCCGGAGAGTCCCTGACAGAGGTTGGGGTGGGGGGGTGGTGCTGGGGCGGGAGGTGGGGAAATCGGACTCTGGAATCAGACAAGCCTGAGGTCCAGACCTGGCTCTGTGTGACCGTAGACAAGCCACATCGCCCTCCATCTGTAAAAATAGGGACCGGACAGGAACTTGGGTCCATTCCTTGCTAAGTGCTTGTGGAATGGGTGCCTAAGGTCATTTGAAGATGATCTGAGAGAGAATTTGTAAACCACAGACACAGAACAAGGGCTCTAGGACTGGTGGATCTTATTACCATTACAGGGGTGCGGGAAGGTTGGGGTGTGTTTGGGGGGGGTGCCGGAGATACGAAAGGGGGGGAGCCAAGGGCTCAGGAGGAGTCCAGTGGAGCAGAAGCAAATGGGGAGAGACCTCTCCAGAAAGTTGGGAGTTGTCGGACCGCGCCCAAAGCCTCTGACCCCTTGGGGCTTCAGTGCCCCCGCCCCGGTCTGGGAACTAGGCACCCCCGCTGGAGGATGGAGCTGGGTGCTGCCCTCCCCCCCTTCCCCACCCCCGCCCCCCCCGGCCCCGCCCCAACTGCAGAGGGGACTCACCGTGAGGGGCAGGGAACACACGGCCATGATGCCCGTCATGAGGGCCAGCAGAATGAGGTGGTCCACCTCGTCCTCCCCTGCCCGGGGGCCGGGGACCAGGGAGCCCTGGTGGCGCCTCTGCTGGCGGTACATGCGGCAGAGGCTCAGGGTAACCGAGCTGTTGCATAGGATGGTGGCGGCCACCAGCAGGGCCACAAGGCTGGCGTAAGCCAGCGAGAAGGCGCAGCCGCCCAGCTCCGCCGAGCGCATGCGGATGAAGCACCAGCTGCCGGGGCAGTACTGCTGGTGTTGGCCCAGGCCCAGCAGGGGCAGCGAGCAGAAGACGGTGCAGAAGGTGTAGACAGCGGGCAGGGCCAGGCGGGCGCAGCGCGGCCCGTCCAGCTGAGCGTAGAGGTAGGGGTGGCTGAGCGCCAGGCAGCGCTCCACGGCCATGGCGGAGAGGATGAGCGTGGAGGCCAGGCCAAAGAAAGTCATGGCGAAGGCGAAGGCATCGCACAAAGCCGGGCGGCCCCAGGCCAGGCCCAGCAGCGAGCTGTTGCGGGCGTAGGCCACGAACACGGCCGGGCTCAGGAAGCAAGTGCCCAGCAGGTCGGTGACCGCCAGCCCGGTCACCAGCACGGCGAAGGCCGAGGGGCGTGAGCGCCGCCGTGCCCCCAGGATGCCCAGGGCCAGCCCGTTGCCCACCACGCCCGCCACGAACATCAGGGTGCTGGTGGCCGGGCCTACCGAGTCCCGCACGTAGGTGAGGTTCCTGCATGAGTCGGCCATCCCCCTCACCTCTGGTGCGGCCTGGACTAGAGCGGTCCCCGGGGAGGGGGGCACGGGGGGGGGGGGCCGGGGGGGGGGGGGCCGGGGGGGGGGGCCCTGAGGCCCACTCAGACGCCCACCGCCCTCCGCATGGGCCAGCCCCAGGTCTCCTTGTGCGTGTGGCTGGCTGTCCGTCTGTCTGCCCCTCTCCTCTCTCCTTCGTCCTGCCTTCTCCCTAGTTCTGTCCTTTCTGCCTACCCCTTGCCCACCCGGTCTCCCCCTCTGCCTCTCCCTCTCTCGCCCCAGCAGCCCTCTACCCTCTCCTCACCGCACCCCTGCCTTCTCTCTCAGTCCCCTCCTCTGTGCCCTGCTCTCGGCTCTGCTGGCTGTACCGGTCTCTGCGAGTCAGCTTCTCCTTCCTTCCCTCCCCGCTCCCTCCTCCCTCCTCCCTCCTCCCTCCTCCTCCTCCTCCCTCCTCCCTTCTCATCTAGACTGCTCGCCTGGGCTTTTTCATTTCCTCCTGCTGCCCCGCCTTCCCTCCCCCTGCCAGTTCCAAAGGGCACCCCCCCCTCCCTCTCCCCTTCTCTGGCCCGCTCCCTCCAACTTCCCTGCGCAGTGCAGCCCAGTCTACCTCTGCCTCCCCTCCCTGCTTCCTCTCATGGTCGCATCCCTGAGCCACCTGCCGCTGACCCACGTACTGGTCTCTGCTCTTCTCCCTTCCCCAGCTCTCCCATTGGCCCCTTGTGGGGATCACTGAGTCATCGCACCCTGGAGCACACCAGGACAAGACCTGAGGGGCACAGCTGACCAGTCTGAGAGGCTGTCTGGGGGTGGCCTCTGGGATCTATTCTGGGCTCCAGGCCCCAGGGTTAGGACATTGACCAGGGATTGAGAAACGACCAGGAAATTCCTCCCCGATGTAATGTTTTTCAGGCACTACTGAGATTTCTGTTCCCTGGACACAATTCACTCTTTCCAGAAGGCTGGAGAAGGAGGTGGCCAGGCTAGAGAAAGAATACCAGTCCCAGAGCCTGTCCTAGGGTGCAAGCCCGTCGACCCGGCCGAGTCTTGGGAAGAGGGATTCCAGGGAGGAGGGCCTTGGTGTCCAGCAGTCTGTCGGGGACAGGCCCTAGGACCTCCAAGAGCAACAAAGGGGAGTGCCCTCCCACCCTCTTGCTTCTCGCTCCAGCAATCCCAAGCCCCATGCCAAGCTCCAGAGACCTTGGCTTCCAGGAATAATATTTTGGCCACGAACAGCAGTTCAGGACTCAAGATCACTGTCACATCCATCTCTCCCACAGCTCCCCCAAACACAACTCCAGCCACCACCCTCGGGCCCGTGTGCTCAGCCCACATGTCCCAGCTGCCGACACAGCGGTCACAGCCCCGGGTCCCACCGAGTCAATGGCTTCGCATGCCGCCTCCCCACCCAGAAGGGCCAGAGCCCCTCTCAAACACCCCTTATTTTTGAGGGAGGCAGTTTAAATGGAGAGATTACAAACTCAGGGGCTCACTCATTTGACTCGAGTTCCTGTCCCCATTCCACCACCTCTTTGCAGCGTGATGACCTGGGTGGGAACGAGAAGCCGGTGTGCCTCAGTTTCCTCATCTGTACAATGGGGTGACCCCAGTTTCATGGGCCAGGTGGCCAACCATAGCCAGTGGCCCATGCCAGAGCCCTCTTTGTGCCAAGGAGCGCGCGTGCGCACATGTGTCATGTCCGAGTCCAGGAGGGATGCTCCCGATCCCAAGGGCTGGACATTGGGTAGCTGCAGACTTCCCCTCTCTATAGCCAGGCCCCTCGGTGACCACAACTGCCTCACCCCTTTCCCCCTCTCCCTATCACCCATGCGCACAGCATCCCCAGCTTCCGGCCTCAGCTCCAGCCATACCGGGGGGCTCAGAGAGGTGCCTGGGTGCATGGGCCTCGGGCCTCCTGGCTCTGCGGTTCTCCCCACTGCCCTGTGCTCTGCAATCCCCAGGCAGACCAGAGGGAACTCAGGAAGTGATATCATATTAATGAGGGATGATGCCTGGCGGGCTTACGTCCTGTGGCAGCATCAGGGAAGTTGGGGGGCGGGGCGGGGTAGCTCGGGTTCCTGGAGCCTCCCTCCCCCTGGCTTCCTGTCCCCACCAGGGACCACTGAGCATTCAGGAAGTTCACTCTGCTCCCAGGCCCAGTGGGGCCTGGCCTCACACACCCTGCCCCCCTCCAGGCCTCAGTTTACCCACCTGTGCCACTGGGGGCCGGGAGCCCTTGCAACCCTGGCAGCGTGTTGTATGCTTCGGGGCAGGTGGGGGTGGCAGCGACTGTAATGAGAGGTCCCTGGGGCTGGTGTCAGTGCTGGACCCCCTCCACTCACTTTTCGGGAACCCTGGCATCCTGCCAGCTGTGGCCACGCCCACAGCTGAAGCCACAAAGGGTTCCTCTTCTCTCAGGTGTCTTAGGGTGAGAGGTCACCCCAGCTGGGCTATGAGGGGGTGGCTTCCAGGGTTGGGGGGCGGGAACTGTGGGAAGGAACAGCTCGGGGAGGCGAGTCAGCCTCCCTCCCCTCCCACGGCTTGCGCAGGACTCAGGCATCCCCAGGAGGACCGTGGACAGGGGCAGAGGAGGGAGGACGGCCCGGAGAAAACCGGGAATGGCCAGCACCATACCAGGGGAGGGGGTGTGCAAGGGGCTGCCGTGGACACGTGAACTGCAGGCGTGGGTCTGTGTGATATTAGTGGGGCCTGTGGAACTGAAGTGAGCATTTTTTTAAATTTATTTATTTATGGGGGAGAGCAGAGGGAGAAAGACAAGCAGACTCCCTGCTGAGTGCGGAGCCCCTCGTGGGGCTCAATCCCACGACTCCCTAGATCATGACCTGAGCCGAAACCAAGAGTCAGACGCCCCAACTGACTGAGCCACCCAGGCGCCCCCTACGGGAGCATCTTTTAACCTCACCGCGAGTGTGTGTGCTTGTGTGCACCGTGGCAGTGAGTGGGCGTGATTTTCTTGACAGCCTGTTTGTACATCTGTGTCCCTTCGTGCACCTTGTTGTGGGTCTGTGCCTGTGTGTTTATTGTGGACCCCTGTGCTGCTTTACGGCTGTGTCTCCCTGCATGTGTGTGCGTGTGTGTGTGTGTGTGTGTGTGTGTGTGTGTTTGCTTGAGGAGGGGCTGCCTGGCACAGGGGGAAGAGAGTGGCTTTGGAAGCGCCCCTCCACCCCTCACCAGTCACTTGCTGTGTGACCCTGGAAAATGACTTCCCCTGGCTCAGCCTTGATGTTCTTCCTCACATGGCTGCCTTGCCCTTGTTGGGGTGTGGTGTGAAGATTAGAGACGAGGTTCCCCCTGCCTGCCTCCAGGAAGCCCTCAAACAGCTGCTGGCATTGTTATTATTCATTCAACAAACTGTCACCCACTTACTGGGGGCCAAGGGAGGGGGACGCAGCAGGCCTGGGGGGGTGCCATCCGATGGACACATGTTCCCAAGTGACGGGGAAGGTCCTCCGCTGAGTCATCTGCAGCCCTGGGTCTCTCCCACACCTGCTTGCCCAGGCCTGCATCTGGACCTGCCACCGAGCTAAGACCCTGCTTGCCCGGGGCCCGACCTTCTCCTGACTCCCTGGTGTCCTGGCCCTGCCCTGGGAAGAGGTTGGCCCCACACGCACGCGCACACACACGCATGCGTGTACGCACCCCACCAGCTGTTCACACCTGCCAAGCCTACCTGTCTACCTGTGCCCTCCCGCGGCTGCAAGAAGTTGCTGCGTGTCCATCCTGACCTGTCCCTCACTGGCAGGTGCCAACACTTTCAGACAGAGGCCATTTGTCTCTGCCCACCACCCTTTCCTGCACCCCAAATGGGCCCTTGCCTACCTACCAGTCTCCTCTTCTCGTCCCTGCTCCAGGGGGCTCTCCTCCTGCCATCCCTGCCCTGCCTTTGCCTGGGCCTGGGCCCCTCCCCTGGGATACCCCCGTTCTGTTCTTCAAGCCCCCTGCAACACCTCCAGCCCCTCCTGAACCCTCATCCATTGGTGCCCACTCCAACCTCAAGCCCCAACTGGCCAGGTGATGTCACTTTGCTGTGCCTGACTCCATGTCTATAAAATGGGGATAAACAGAGTCCTTTGGGGGGCCATCAGAGAATTAAGTGAGGTGGGGCTTCAGAAACGGGATTCCAATATGTGATAGTCATAGCTGTGGCTCGGGGCCACCCCTCCCCCAAATCCCCTCAGCAGAGCCAAGCACCGCTCAGAGCATGTGGGGTGCAAAGGGCAGACAGCCTGGGAGGGGCAGCCTGGGGCCCCTCAGGGTTTGGGGTGAAGTGGAAGGGGACTGCTAGCAGCAGGCACTTCCCCAGGCGGTCCCCTCTCTGCCTCTTGGCCTGGCTCTGACCCCAGGGCTGACCTCACAGCGAGGCTGGCCGGAAAGGGCAGAGCAGCGGGTAACCAGAAGCTGGTCCTACAGAGTCATACCCGCTAACAAGATTACCCAGGTTTGCATGCGTAGATGCCGCTCACCCAGGACATGCCCTGTCTAGCTCATCTGGCACCTGCCCCCCCCCCGCCTCCCTCCCACACCTCCTCCCGGTAGACCTCCTTCCTGCCCGCCCTCCCCTCCCCACACTGGGTCAGCCAGCCCCCTTGCTTCTCCTGACTTCCACCCCCCAAGACCAGGAATGCGAAGGAGGAAGGATCTACACTACACGGCCCCAAGATTTCAGGGTTAAAAGGGTCCAAATCCCAACAGTCAAGCCTCAAGAAATCCTTACACTCCTGAAGTGCAGAGCTCTGGGTCCTAGCCGGACAAAGGAACAGGAGTCTAGCCCCACAGGGTCGAAGGACTCCAGAATTCCAGCCCTATGAGGTCCTGCGATTCTAGAGTCCTCTGCATTCCAGGTTCTAACATGCAAGGATGCTGGGTCTGAGAAATTCCAGAATCCTCTGGCAACTTCCCTCCCAGCATCCCTCCTCCCCAGCCCCCCTCCCAGCAGCTCATCCTTGGCTCAGTCTGTCCCCGGTGTCCCCAGGGGTTCCCACAGACATGATGCAACTAGGCTGGAGCCGGCTGAGAGGGGTGGGAGGCAGGAGGGAGCTGTAATTACAGCTCGTCCTGCCTCAACCCAACAGGAAGCTCAGAGTTGGGGCCCAGGGGACCCTAATCCAATGTGAATAATGGAGCACTCACCAGAAACACACATGGCCCGGTGAACCGGCTCCATCCAGATCCAGGGGTCCAGCCCCCGTTGCCCCAAGCTGGGGAGCACAGGTGTCAGGCGTGGGAGAAAAGAGGAAGTGGGGGTGAGGGGACGGGAGAGGG